AACATAAAAAGAAGAATGTGGATAGTGCTTTATGGGATTCTGACAGTGAAATTTTGTATTGATAATATGTGGTAAATGTCCTCACTGTTTGACTCTGTTTCAAACCTGTGGATGAAACTGAAAATTGGTAGAAAAATCATGACTTAATATTTATCCATGCTGGTGCTATACATTTAGCCCACCTTTGAAAAGACTGTGACTTCAGGTTATGGATAGTTAGTGAAATTACTCTTTGGATTGTGTGCTCGCTCTTGTTCTACCATTGAATAGAAAGATGATAGACAGAGACTTGTTAATCAAGGTGTTTCAGGATGATAATGAGAAAGACTGTCAAAAAAACAAACAAACTGACAGATAAATATATAGCTAAAGCACACCAACTCCTAGTCTGTAATCACACTAAGTTGTCCTCCACCCAGACTTGTGCACAGTGACATTTTAACATTCTTGGTTGTCAATGGAGTTTTAATATACTTTTTTTTTCATCTCAGCAGAACAATAATTCTCACTGACTTATATCATTGATGTGGAAAGTTTGAAACTTCTGGTTTTTGACAGCTGAGAAGTAATTTGCATGGTTTCTTGGTTGGTGTAACAGCAGGGGAAGTGGCATAAGATTGGACCTGGGACAAAGTTAACTGTGTTGATAGGGCGTTTTATAGACTTTCATGGCAGGTCTAGGTATATTTCTCAAGTAAAAAAGAAGAAAATGGAGGAATGTAATCCCAGGATGGACTGAAATTCACTGTGGAACAATGGTTTGATTGGTTGGACGCAAAAGGAGTCTAATATATGACTTGGCATATATTATCTTCAGTTTTGTTTCATCTCGAGAATTAAGTCTGTTGAAATTGTGTCTGTTTATCCAAATGAATGCACATATTTACCAGGCACATTCCCCTTCAGCTTGAGGGGAAGAGCAATATTTAGGAGGCCTTATCAAACTTTAGGACTAGATAAGGAGAAAAAGGTGTTATTTTATGACGTCTAGATTCCTGCATCCAAAAGATTTAGTGGGTTTATTTTCATGGGAGGATCTACAATTTTTTTGCATGTTTCATTGATGGTATCCAATTAATGCCAAAGCATATATTTTTGTAAAATACTGTTCTGTCTTTCACAAAGCAGGCATTTGAGAGAAAATACTTGGGAGGACGTGGAAAGTTGTTCGTTTTTTTTTTTTTTTGCTTGAAGATATAGCTGGAATATGTTTTGCATGTGTTTGAACAAGCTGATTTGAAGGTTCAGGTATATCAGTGTAAATGAAGACTTCCGTTAAGGTACATGGTGTAAACATTCTGAAGATAACAGAAGCAGAGCAGACATTTTCTTGTTGAGAAATAAGCTGAAAGTTGGAGATTGGAATGCTCATTGAGATGTTCATGTGTGATGCAGATATCACTACATTTATGGATCATTTATAATTCTGCAAATGTTATGTCATTCAGGTCATGGATCAGGCATGAAATAGAGAAATTATCTCAAAATTCTGGAACAGCCTCATATCATATATGGATTTATGAAAAATTGATCACCATATTGGAAAAAATGGGATCCGTTTTATCAGACATTTACTGGAGTAGCAAATGGATGGCATAAAAAATCACTGGTTTCACAGTATCTGATTTCATCCATGGTGAATATCTTGGTATGTCTTCCTGGCATAGCATATATTTCACACCTGAAAAATAGGAGTTTTTACAACTGAACAGAACCTACAGAGAGAGACAGACAATATCATAACCTGCCATTGAGCTCCCTAATATTCCTTGTTTATGTAGTCTATCAGATGAGCAACATAAACAGGCAATAATCCTAAATTAGAAATCACTTCCACCACCTGATGAGGGACACATGAAATTGTATATTTTGATCTCTTCATTATCATCTTATAGAAGTGCCACTGGTTTGGTAATTTGCTGTAACTTGTGCCTACTTGAGTACCCTTAGTACTTGTGTATAGGGGACAGCCAGAAACAGTTCAAACATTCTGAGGATGAAGCCACTAGTGGCAGTCTAAATACTTATAGTGTATATTTTGATAATATTTTGTAAAAATTTCCCACTGTGCTGCGGTGTACCAAGATGAATAACCTAAGGTATCAGGGGTTCTTTCACTCCACCCTTTCTCTCAATGGTGGCAGTTCTTGTGCCAAGTTGTGGACGGGGAAGTGCGGGAACGCACGCGTGTTTGCCATGGTTTCTTGCGAGGATCTGACAGACATAGGTTGGTATTTCTATAATGTTGATTTATTTCTATAAACTTGATGAAATTTCATATTTCTGTACATCTGCCTTGTATATTTTTAGTCTAATATTATGATATCAAAATCCTAATCACCACCTCAAAGGAAAATCTTCAATGTCACTAAATGCATTACTTAATTCAGTTTGTTCTGCAAATTTATCTTTATTTGACTACTAAAATAATGATTGGTTTACCAGTAAGTGAATTAAAAGAATTAAGGGAAAAGATAATGCAGCAAGTGTAGTACGCTAGAAACTAATATATCCATCTTGATTTTATATCAGATGATAAATAGTTGTCTGCAAATTAGACTGTGGTTTGGATTTGAATGTATAGTTGTGTTTTGTCTGTTCAGTGTAGATCTCCACATTATTTTAATGTGTTATGTATTATACCCAATGCCAGGATGGTGTTAGAGTATCTAGTTTGGAGTCCCCACGTGTCACATGTTCTCCTGATTTCTAAGACTGGAGAGTTGAAAAAAAGAATGACTGGAATTTATGTCATGGAGGAGTAACACCAACTCAAATATTTGTTCTTTGTTTTGCTCTTGAGGGCCTATGTCTACAGGAAAGTTAAAAGTTTTAGTTGTCTTTATATTACATTGTTATCAGTGTCATGCGTGGGGAGAGGGGAGGGGGTATATCTGTATTAACTATCAGCTTTAGATGCTGTGTGTGGAATGGGTTTTTCTTATCATGCAATATACATTGTGGAAGGTGTGTGCATTTTTCATTTTTTAGATCACTCACTATCATGTCACCTTTTTCATTTGTTTGACAGGATTTAAAATTATTTCCAACATTAATTTTGTTTTACTTGTAAGTAGCTGTGTGTGTGTGTGTGTGTGTGTGTATCTCATTCTCAAGTTTTTAATTACATACACTGAGATGATATAGAGATATTTTTATTTTTAAAAATCAGTTATTATCTCTGAACTCTATATTTAAAGGTATTGGTAGGAGAGAGGGAAGGAAAGGAGTCTGCATGTTAGATTCCAATCATCTCCTGAACATCTGTAATTATGATGTCCAAATTAGTTCCTCTCATAAAGTCATCTAAATATTTGCACTGCTGGCAAACCTGGTGCTCCAGCCAAATAAATAACTGTGGTTTATTTTCCTCTCCATCCTCCAACCATGAAGCCGCAGGCTTGGTTCTCTTTAATTGGGCAGCTTTCAACTTTTATGGGTTATAGGTACTAACAGTCCGTGGTTTTTACCACCATTTTGACCATTGATGACATTTAGACCTGTGGCAAGAAGAGCAGACAAGCCTAAAAAAGATTAGTTGTGATTAGTTTGGTGATTTTTTTGCTGGATTATTTTTGGAAGAGGATTTTTAGGTGAACTGTCGTAAGATATTTTCATTGTGTGTAGTTAATTTTAACATCAAGGTAAAATAATTTGAGATATGAACATAATAGGAAAAGTTCTGGTGATGGGGTAATTTCATGTAATTTTTGGCAATTTCAAAAGAAAACCTTTTATAAACATTGATATGAGAAATGTTTGCCTGAATTATAAGATTCAGACATGGTTCTTCATATATTATATAGTTCGCAGCAGTTCAGAATTGAACTTCAAATCTATCTTGAGGAGCAGATAGTGTCTGGAATTTTTGTTTGTTAATTACTAAATAAAACTTAACTTATTGTTAAGTGCTTCATAAAGTTAAAGCACTAAAATACTGCCGTAAATGTAACTGTAGGTATGAAAGAATTAGCACCATTTAGAACTACTACAAGATGGCAACTTGCCAAACAGCAGTGTATACTGGACTACACAACAGTTTTAGGTGTAATGCCAAAGGGTACTTGACCAAGAATGTTGTTTTAGAAGGTTGTCCGTTTTTTACATGCATGTATTCAGAAATATTTTGCCACTAGGCAGGTATTTTTAAGACAGAGATACAGGTACTTTAATAAAGATGACCTATAGTATTTGTGCAGGTGAAGGAAAAATGTGTAACACAGTTGCTCATGTGTTTTGCAGTGTGTAGCCAGTTAATGATAAGGCTAAGCATTTTATGTTCACGGATTAAGAAAGATTTTTCTGTGTTGCCATTAGATTTTAGTATTTTAGTGTTCAAAATAAACTGATCTTTTATAAAAGTGTATGATGAAGAGAAAAAGTGGACTCCTGATTACCTATGCATTATCATAAACAATAAGCTGTATTTTTCAACATGAGAATATTAAGTCTTTTAAGGTAAAAGAACAAAAGGAATTATTTTGTCCATTGGATATATTATATATCCCAAATAGTGCAATATGTCATTGCTGGATAAAGTAAAAACAAACAGTATAGAGCAACATGATGAGTAGGACCGAAGATGAATGATTTTCTCAAGATAGTAATAGGATAAATGTATTATAGCATTCCACTGTGCCATTATAACCCAGCGGTTACTACTCGGGAATGTGGATGGTTGAAGGATATGTATTATTATAGGAAGTCATTGTTACCACAGGCATTTGTTTGCATGTTGAAACAAAAGACAACAAGTGACAGACACAATATTCTTCTTTTATGTTTTAGGAAGTAAGGCAGTGAAAGCATGTTTTTTTTTTATGGAGAGAGAGAGAGAGAGTTGTGAGAGAGACTGTAGGGAAAAAGGTTGTACTTAAGGAAAGAAATTTTACGTGTGAATTTGTTTTTCAGATTTAAATGACTACAGTTGGTTGAGGAAGATGTTAGATTTACTAATGAACATTTAATCAATAAATAACGTTTTAATTCTATTTTTACAGCCTCGTCTGGCAGCGACAAATACGGCAGCAACTTGCAGATGACTTACAATCCTTCCTTCAAGCCATTCAGCAGAGATCCCAGTTCTGAGAGTGTCGTCTCCCTGATGAGCGTTGCCAGCACAACCAACAGTGTCAGCCCACCCTCCACCGCCAACAGGCCTCATTCTATCACCAGTGAGTAGAACTGGGACTTGGGGACTCCTTCAGGGGGTGGGGGTTGGTTAGCATTGTAATGGGGGTAGTGAAAACGATTGGGGGGGGGGAGGAGAGAATGAGGGGAAGAGGGCAGCAGAAAGTGTAAGAGACTGGGTAAGGAGAAAGAGTATGTGGAATACCTAATTTTACAACATTTTTCCCTTATGCATGTTATAACCATACTTAATATGGGGTAAATGATTTTGGCATTTAAAATGCACATTGCATGGCTTTTCTCTTCCTCTAGCTTGGTCAGACAAAATATTCAAAGTGTATTACACCATAATGAATTTTGGCCATTGCATGTGGTTAATGCAGCAGTTGAGGTACCTGGTAAAATAATGAAGCAGGATTAGGCTCATAGTCCTTGTGTTATAATGGGATGGTTGGTTTGTAGATGTCAGTCTGGAGTTGAGAGAAGTACTAATATATTTTTCCCCATTTTTCCTTCTTCTTTCATCAGAGGAGGGTGTTTATGAAGGTATGTGTGTATTGCTGATATAAAACATAAATGTTTGGCTTGCTTTCACTTTGGGTGTTATATTTGTGTTGTGTCTTTTTTTTTTTTTTTTTTGTCAACTTATTCGCTGAATATATATTTTACTTTTTTATTTGTTTTTGCTTTTGCTTAAAATAAAAGACAATATACAATGTTTGACTGAATTTCAAAATCACGCTCTTTTTTGTTAACATCAGTGAGCCAAAAGTCAGTGATTATTATTTTTTAGTTGCACTTTGGATTTATAAAGTTGTTTTTTGCATACATGTTTTTTTACAGTTGCAATTTTAAGTTATGTATGTGTGATGTTTGTTAGGTTTGTTACACCACATTACTTACAGTGTTCATTTTTTAAATATATTTAGAATAAAATAACAGGTGCTTGCAATTGTAAGATATTATTCTAGTAATATATGAAAAAAACAGCACCTGAAATGTTGATGGTAACAGCTAATTATAAAAATTGTTTATAAATGTAAAAATGCTGCATTTTGTATTACCTTAGCTCAAGTATTCAAGAATTTGATGCACTCATGAAAGTGATTTGATGCACTCATGATTTTAGAACAGTATATGTGTTTTTCATCAGTAAGCATATATATATATATATATATATATATATATATATATATATATATATATATATATATATATATATGATTTTCATTGCCACTTCAGCCACACAGCAAGGCCCTGTGGAGGAATTACAACTATTTGGCAAGCGAAAGTCATCAATACGGAGGTCTGCCAGGGCAAGTTTTGGCCGTGGGTATGATGGGAAAGGTGAGTTTCACTGGTCGTCATGGAGACAGGTGTTGTCATGGGGATAGGATGAGAAATGTTGTCTGCAGACATTCTCAAGGGAAAATTGACATTTTAGCTTTGAATGTTTTGTTTGAAACTTTGATGACACTTCTCTGGTAACTGGGCATATTTTTATGTGCTATGTAAAGTGGCTGTATCGTTCTGGTGTACAGAAGCAGTTTCTGTAATGTGTCCTTCCAAGCTTTTAGATTATTTTCTGATTATCATGAAAGGTCTGAAGGTATCATTGGAGCTTTGATTGTTCTAGTTTCATCTCTCATTTGCTTGAACTGTTTACTGTCCATCTTTGGAAGATGTTGTTTGCAACTTATGAATGCCAATGGACAGATACAAGATGCATTGGGTGATTTTACCTCAAGGACTGTGTGACAGAAATCCTGTTACTCATCATTTAGTTGAAAAAGTTACATAGGGTCCTCACAGAATAAAGCAGAACAGTTAAGCAAAGGTGCTGCCTGTAAGATACATGTAAAACAACAGTGATAAGCTGAAAAAAGAATACCTCTTGTCAGTGAACCCTAAAAGATTGCACATTTCTCTAGTGACTATTTTACGGAATAAATATTAGGTCAAGAGTTTAGTTCTGTATGTATATGTGTATATGGTTCACCACCCAATAGAAGTGTCACTGTATTTTGTTATTGAGACATGCAGGAAAAGAAAGACACCCATTGTATACTAAAAAGAATTAAGTGAGCAATGACATGCAAAGAAACGCTAGGTTTTACTGATAGGGCTCTGTGTTTATGTTGTCTTTGAGTGAAAAAAAACTTATAGAGATATTGAAATACAGAAATGCCTGTTTAAAGGATTTTTTAAAACTCAAATGAATAAAAAGGTATATTTTGATTATTTTGAAATTCAAAGCGTCTCACTTTGTCCATGCTTGCTAGTCAGTCAAATGCACACTATCTGATACAAAATCAAGTCACTTTTCAAAGATTTCTATTCACCTTTTTACGTATGACTGACAGAACTTTATTTAAGGAAGTGTAATTGGTCAATTTTATTCAGTAAAAAGAGTAATTACCTTAGTGAGGCACAGATATCAGAAATGCATCCAAGCACTTTATCTTGACTTTCATTTTCTTCTCTCTTTACACTCTGAAAACACTTTTCTAATGTCACAGTCACCCGAGGTAGCTCACCTGTTCACTGTTAGTTGTGCACCTTTTTCTAGGGCGCCCCTTTCAACGCCACATCCAGCGCCTTCTTCTACAGAGCAGGGGCTCCAGAGAGCAACTTAACAGGCCAGGTTAGGGGCACTATTGCCAGAAAAGATCTGAAAGGGGAAGGGGTTGTCTCACAGTCCAATGTTCCATTTTATAAGCCTTATTTAAAGATACCGAGTAGTCTGAACTTGATAATAGTTCAGGTTGTAACCGAAAACCCAAGCGAAAACATCCAAATGAGAATTGTTTTAAGGTGTTTCACCTTAAGGACTTTGCCACACTTTCTCAAAGGCCTGGATGGGCAGCTAAGTTTTTTTTAAAGATGGGTGGATTGAGGGGACAATTCCTTGACTCTTCCCCTTTCTAGGTCACAGTTCCCTGCTTGTGATCTTTTCTGGTGTAGGCCTCCATGTTGTATGATAATATCCAACAACTTTCAGGATTTTTACCTTTTTAATGCATGCTGAATATTGATAGGTTTTCTTTTGCAGTGACTGCATGCCGGTTTTGATGTGAAGCCCTAGGTTTTATACTTTGCTTGAATTTTTATTATTATTATTATTATTATTATTATTATTATTATTATTATTTTATGACCCATGCTTTTTCAAAGCTTCTATTGCAGAGTTAAAAGCTGTTTGTTCTTGAATTATAACGTAAACCAACACATGTATAGGTGAAAAGTGATATACTTGAAATGTAAGAGAAGTGATTCCCTCTTTATTTTTGGTTAAACAGTTGGAGATATATTGATATAATTGTGTCAGTTGAAATGTCTGTCTATTCATTCCTGTATAATTTTAAGCAACGTGTTGAACAAAATATTTTTTCCTCAAATTCCCCAATGAGCTTTGATGATATTTTATACATCATATATTTTTCTGTTACTTGAAGTTTATTTATCTGACTACAGAAGCATCATTCTACATGCATGATAAGGTGCATTGTGAATTATTTTTTCATATTATTATTCTTCTTAAACATCTTATGCAGCACCTGTGAGTGTTTATTTTGTTTTTATGCACTTGGCCTTAGACACTGCTTAGCATTTTGGACAACCATGTTTGCATATATTTTGGCAGATTATATTTCCAGTATCATTTTATATCAGATACTAGCACACTGTTGATTCAGAAATATTTAATGTAGAATGTATAAACTGTAAAGAATCATATGATTTGTTATACTTAATGCACAGAGCTTTGCCACTGTTGGAGATACTTTTCTCTTGCAATCTTTCAAACCTGAAATTTTATTGCACATTGAACTTGAGTTATTTGGTGCACATTGTGAATGTTTTGCATTGAAGAAAAATTACGTGAACTATTTTACAGCGAGTTAACATTTATTGCATAATTAGATATTCATTATTAACTAAATATAATAGCTGTATTTCCCTTTTTTCAGTGAGATTTGCCCCCGTGAAACCACCACAGATCCAGTTGACTCCCATCAACTTTGAAGTCCCACACCAAGAGAAAGTTCCACTGTTTGTAGGCCGAGAATGGCTGTACAAAGAAGTAGAAAAGGTGAGACAAGGGGGTTCTACTACATATTCTGTCTTCATAATATAGGTGATATAAATCTGAGTGTAAAGTGTAATGAGTTGTTTTAATTATCTTTTACTACTGGTACTCTACTATAATTAATAAGTGCCTTCATTGCATTTTCCATTATGACATTGAAAGCCCAGGATTTCTTGGGCGTTCTCATTCCCTGTCCAAAACCATATTTCTCACAGAATTTGAACACATTTAGTGATAACATTTCAAAACCATGATTTGATAAATATACTTAATTATGATTTGACTGAAATCTGTATGAAATAGTTTGTGTGACTCAGAAGTTACTTTAGTGCCTACCTTAAAGTCATCACTTCAAAGAATGGGAAATTTGGAATGAGTAAGGTGTTTGAGAATTGTAAATAATAACCCTGATTTTCTACCCCCCAGGAGCTATATGGGGAGGCCAGCCACCATGGTATAGTGGTCACAGGGGGCGTGGGGTGTGGAAAGACCTCCATAGTAGAACAGCTGGTGGACCAGAGCTGCTTTGGAGAAGGAAAATGTGGCTTCCTAGAAAACAAAGGTAAAATTTAGATCTAATAGAATAACTGAATGGCTAGATCTAAGTAAGTAAGAGAAAAAAAGTGGCATTTTTATACATCTGGCTTCATACATTATCAATTCACATTAATTTTATCCAATCGTGTTAATTTCTAGATTTGTGCCAAGTGACAGGAGCCTCCAAGAGCCGTCAGTTAGGTGGGAGCGGCAACAGTAGTTTAAGTGGCAGTGTAAATAACAGTCCCAGTGGGACTCTAAGCTCTAACGGACTCAGTAGCTCACAGAGCAGCTATCTCGCTGCTTCAACGCTGAGCCTCAGTTTCACTTACGACGCCCTACGGACAATAGCCTCGGATGTGGTCGCGTTCCATTTCTGTCAGGCAGACAATAACATAACATGTATGGTGCCAGAGTATGTGCATAGCACAGCAGCGTATTTGTCGCAAGCGCCTCAGCTCTCTGCTTACAGGGATCTACTCATCCAGGAGCCGCACTTACAGAACATACTGAGCATGAGGGAGTGTATTCAGGACCCTGCAAGATCTTTTGTAAAGGGAGTACTGGAACCTCTGCACAAACTGCACCAAGACGGGAAGATCACAGTGGAAAATTGTATCATTCTTATAGACTCGCTCAACGAGGCAGAGTTCCACAAGCCAGACTATGGGGACACCATAGCCTCTTTTCTGACCAAGCACATCAACAAGTTTCCATCTTGGCTGAAAGTCATCTGCACAGTGCGGACTTCGCTGCAGGACTTGACCAAGATGATGCCCTTACACAAAATCAGTTTGGATAAGATTGCATCCAATGAGCATATCAATAGGGATTTACAGGATTACATAAACTACCGCATTAATACGACACTGGATGTCAAAAACAATGTTGCACTCAATGGCAAGCTTGAAAGCACTACCCAAATGAAGTTCAGTTCACATCTAAGTGCTTTGAGTCGAGGCTGCTTCTTGTACTGTAAGTTAACGCTGGATCTTATTGAACAGGGCAGAATAGTTCTCAAGAGCTCAAATTATAAGATCCTACCACAGAACATGGCAGAAGTGTTCCTGCTTCATTTCAATCTCAAATTCCCAAGTTTACGCTCATTTGAAAAGGTCTGCCCAATCTTGAACGTGTGTCTGGCCTCTTTGTATCCCCTCACAACAAAGGAAATATACGAGACTGTTAATTCAGCATACGTCCAGCGCTATGTTCCGTGGGATGATTTTCAGNGGAGGTTCTACTACATATTATATCTTCATAATATAGGTGATATAAATCTGAGTGTAAAGTGTAATGAGTTGTTTTAATTATCTTTTACATGGTACTCTACTGTAATTAATAAGTGTCTTCATTGCATCTTCCATGATGACATTGAAAGCCCAGGATTTCTTAGAGTTCTCATTCCCTGTCCAAAACCTTATTTCTCACAGAATTTGAACACATTTAGTGATAACATTTCAAAACCATGATTTGATCAATATACTTAATTATGATTTGACTGAAATCTGTATGAAATAGTTTGTGTGACTCAGAAGTTACTTTAGTGCCTACCTTAAAGTCATCGCTTCATAGAATGGGAAATTTGGAATGAGTTAGGTGTTTGAGAATTGTAAATAATAACCCTGTTTTTCTACCCCCAAGGAGCTATATGGGGAGGCCAGCCACCGTGGTATAGTGGTCACAGGGGGCGTAGGGTGTGGAAAGACCTCCATAGTAGAACAGCTGGTGGACCAGAGCTGCTTTGGAGAAGGAAAATGTGGCTTCCTAGAAAACAAAGGTAAAATTTAGATCTGATAGAATAACTGAACGGCTAGATCTAAGTAAGTAAGAGAAAAAAAGTGGCATTTTTATACATCTGGCTTCACACATTATCAATTTGCTGTTATTCCTAATATCAGGGGAACTTTTTTTTCCAAAAATTCACATATATTTTATCCTTTCCTGTTAATTTCTAGATTTGTGCCAAGTGACAGGAGCCTCCAAGAGCCGTCAATTAGGTGGGAGTGGCAACAGTAGTTTAAGTGGCAGTGTAAATAACAGTCCCAGTGGGACTCTAAGCTCTAACGGACTCAGTAGCTCACAGAGCAGCTATCTCGCTGCTTCAACGCTGAGCCTCAGTTTCACTTATGATGCCCTACGGACAATAGCCTCGGACGTGGTCGCGTTCCACTTCTGTCAGGCAGACAATAACATTACGTGTATGGTGCCAGAGTATGTGCATAGCACAGCAGCGTATTTGTCGCAAGCGCCTCAGCTCTCTGCTTACAGGGATCTACTCATCCAGGAGCCGCACTTACAGAACATACTGAGCATGAGGGAGTGTATTCAGGACCCTGCAAGATCTTTTGTCAAGGGAGTACTGGAACCTCTGCACAAACTGCACCAAGACGGGAAGATCACAGTGGAAAATTGTATCATTCTTATAGACTCGCTCAACGAGGCAGAGTTCCACAAGCCAGACTATGGGGACACCATAGCCTCTTTTCTGACCAAGCACATCAACAAGTTTCCATCTTGGCTGAAAGTCATCTGCACAGTGCGGACTTCGCTGCAGGACTTGACCAAGATGATGCCCTTACACAAAATCAGTTTGGATAAGATTGCATCCAATGAGCATATCAATAGGGATTTACAGGATTACATAAACTACCGCATTAATACGACACTGGATGTCAAAAACAATGTTGCACTCAATGGCAAGCTTGAAAGCACTACCCAAATGAAGTTCAGTTCACATCTAAGTGCTTTGAGTCGAGGCTGCTTCTTGTACTGTAAGTTAACGCTGGATCTTATTGAACAGGGCAGAATAGTTCTCAAGAGCTCAAATTATAAGATCCTACCACAGAACATGGCAGAAGTGTTCCTGCTTCATTTCAATCTCAAATTCCCAAGTTTACGCTCATTTGAAAAGGTCTGCCCAATCTTGAACGTCTGTCTGGCCTCTTTGTATCCCCTCACAACAAAGGAAATATACGAGACTGTTAATTCAGCATACGTCCAGCGCTATGTTCCGTGGGATGATTTTCAGCAGCGCATGGAAGTTGTGTCAAACTTTTTGTTAAAACGACGGGACAGTTCATTCATGTTCTTCCACCCTGCCTTCAGGGAGTGGCTGATTCGCCGGGAAGAGGCAGAAAGTACCAAATATCTCTGTGACTTGAGGTGAGTCCAAGATTTATGAGTTATATTCATGATAATTTTATACATAAAACAGTATGCATAGTTTAAGGAATATGTAGTAATCAATGCCTGTCTATTAGACCCAAAATTCTATAGTTTAATGATAAATATGTTTTTATTTTCAAAAATAATAACTCGTGTGATTATCCATTTATTAAAACTACACAGGAATAATGAGTATGACTATAGGTGAGGTCAAGTGGATACAAAGAATTGATATATTTATTTGCTGGAGTAATTTGTTGGTTTGCATGTCATCGTTCTTATGCATTCTTATGCAAGTCGAATGCGGGACTGAACCTTGTTTACAAGAATGATATAGAAGAAGACAGATGTTTTTGGATCTGATGTTTTTGGAATGTTACTAGTACTTGTTTCTCCACCCTCCTTTCAATAAATCTTATGTTTCACTAACAGCACTTAATTTGTAGCCTGTAGAAGCACAGTTTTTCATGTGGTAAGGTGTTTCGGAACGTGATATGCATGATGCATTTAAGTGCACTCGTGTTCTTCATGGAATGATAATATTTTGCACTGATGTTATGTGTATGTTACCCAGTCTCTTCACTTTGAATATTGTAACACAAACCGTGGCACCATTATATAGCTTGGTTCGTTTTGCTTCCTGTAGTTTTTAGATAATCTTTAAACAGTAAAAGAAACAGTATAAAGCTGATATGGTTTATAAAAACCAAAGTCATAAGTTTATAAGACTTTGAAAGAGCAATGGAAAGTTGTTAGGATGAGCCAAGGTTATCAACTAAATGGAAAGTTTAATTTGTTTTTATATACTTAGTCACTTCAACTATGAATGTTGTCCTTACTATCATGTATGTATTTATTTGTTGTAGTCACATTTAACAGGAATGGCTTTCATGAATGTTCATATTTTTAAGTGTTTTGCTATGTATTTAATCTAGTCAGTTGTGTCGTGCATTTTGAAACAAATTGGCTAACTCAAAAACATAAATTGATATCTATATTTTCATTAATCTGTTTATTTGTCTGTCCATCTGTATTCATAATTATGTGTACGCATGCATGCCTGAGCACATGCCTGCAGACCTAACATACATCAACATTTCAAACAAAATCACACGAGCAGATTTATACACTAAGCACATGAAACATGTACATTTTCATGACTAAATATACATCTACCTTTCCCCTTTCAGGCAAGGTCATGCCCTCTTGGCGTTCCGCCTGTCTCGTGTCAATGCCCCCCTGGGAGCTGAGAAAACGGTAGAACTTGGCCACCACATTCTCAAGGCTCACATCTACAAGACCATTAGCAAGCAGCTGGGATACTCCTCCCGGGACATGCAGGCCTACTGGATGTGCCAGAGTTCGGAGAATCTCAGCGCTGCTTTGTCCAACCAACGGAATGTGTTCTCGCCAAATGTAAAGGTACGGCTTGGATAACTGGAAGATCTTTTATGCATTATTTCAGCAATAGAATATATTTAGTGCTCCAGGAAGTGGGGTGTCAAACTTTTTGGTTTAATTGATTTTTCAAGGACATTATGATTTTGTCAATGCAAAAGTAGTTATTTTTATAATTTATTATACATTTACACTAAAAATAATAAAAGGCAATACATTTTTACAAGTTTTGCTCCTTTGCTTTTATTCTGCTTTTATAAGGATTAAATTCATCTGGATTTATCTGGATATTTGGGTGTTGTATTTAAGCCCCAGGACCCCTCCCCCCTCCTATATAGAGCTGCACTCCCTCGGCACTTGCATTTTCAGAATTTATTTTTAAATGTCCACTTTTATCATTGCCTTTAGGTCAGTCGCCTGATCCTGCTGTCTGGAGCATCTCCCAATGCCAAAACGGAATTCTTCAGCAATGCACCCATCCTGTGCGTGGCTGCCAGAGAGGGGTTTGTAGACATGGTCTCTCTTCTACTAGAGTTTCATGCCAAGGTTGATGTCCCAGGCGATGATGGGATGACCCCCCTGTGTCATGCAGCTGCCAAGGGTCACTCAGAGGTCATACGCATGCTTTTTGCGAAACGAGCCAAAGTGAGTGTGAATAGGTCTATGGTGAGAATGATACATGTTACAGATGCCCAATAGTAAATTTTGTGGGATATCAAGTTTCTTAGAATGATACTGAATTTTTGACAATTTGATAAAAAAAAACCAGCATTTTGTCTTTTAAATGGCAAAATAGATTAACTGAGTATTAAGAATCATGTTTTTCATCAAATGTTTTTTAAACTTACTGGGATTGATTGCATTGAAAAAGGTATGATCTCTGGAAAATAATGCACATTGCCTGTCAGTAAAGTTGTAATTTGCCTCTGTCCCCAGGTCACTCATACGGACAATGCAGGCCAGTGTCCACTTGTCCACGCTGCTATAAATTGCCAGCTGGATGCAGTCAGCATGCTGCTGCAATGTGATTGGACAAAAGAAGGTCATGTGACCCTGACTGAGGCCCTACTGCAGTCACTGGTGGCAGCAACCTCCAAAGGGCATCGGAGTGTAAGTTCTGATGTTCTTATCACTCAGTCATTTTCTGAATTGTGGTATATGATAACTTTCAAAATACAAAATATTTTTGAGAAGTTTTTGATAGTGAATCTGTGCATGGGAGCTAATAAGGCAATATGTGGCCCTGCTTGGCGCCTTTTGCTTCAAAATTTGTTTACAATTCCTTTATTGTAATCCATTTTAATTGATATTTAATTAATTCTTAAGCCTATGCAAAGGAGACAAATTTAACATAAGCTATGTCTTTAGTAATGAAGTAATTCTCACTCTCATAAAACTAAAGGTAAATGTTTTTGTACGAGGTGTAAAATTTCACATATTTCTGTTGTATTTGGAGATGCAGTTTTAATAAAAAAAAAATCATCACTGCTGTCAATAGAAAAGGATATCATTTTCCATTTCAGCTGGTAGAGTTCCTCTTGGACATGCATGAGCTGGGACACGATGGTCTGAATATTAACAATCCTGACACCCTCCAAGGCGAGACCCCACTGACGTCTGCTTGTCTGAATGGAAACAGGGAGATCATTGGCTTATTGCTCAGGAGAGGGGCAGACCCCAAATCTGTCAATGCCAAAGGTAATTGAATAAAAAACATATAGCAAAAATATTTTATTGGTCTTTAAGATATACAAAAGGCTTACTTTTGTGTAATTGTGATATGACCCCTTGTGATGTGTCCCCTTTTATATGCAGTTTCAGATAACTGTGATATTCTTTAGTTGACAAAAATGGAAGCTCCTCCCTTCCCTACTCCTGTTGTGTTGGAACATTAGAATGTCATCAGTTACAAGAATGAGGTGTGCTACGTAGTTTATACTACCACCACAATCTCGCCCTAGGATCAAAGAAGAAAATTGTGAAATCTTCCTAATTTGCTGTCTTTCTCTTCTCTGTCCAGGCCTGCCTCCCCTGCTCTGTGCTGTCAAAGCTGGTTGCTGGGAGACAGTGGATATGCTGCTGGCAGCTGGGGTTTCCATAGAGACCAGTGATCGCCATGGACGCACTGGACTAATGATAGCAGCCAGTGAGGGTCATTTGGGCATTCTGGAGATGTTGTTGTCAAAGGGGATGAAAAGTAAGTAGCAAGTTAGGTAGAATCATGAAAGTGAAGTGATTTTTTATAGTTGTACTATCATGTTCTGTGCATGGTTGGTTTTCTGTATGTATCTTTATGTGTATCAATCAGATAGATTATGATATATTAACTGTTTTGTGCATTTTAGGAGCTGCTCTTGCACAAGTGGACAATGAAGGCCTAACTGCCCTATGCTGGGGCTGTCTCAAAGGTCATCTCCACATCGCCCAGTCTCTACTAGAACATGGCGCTGCTCTGGAACACACAGACAACTCTGGGCGCACCCCTCTACATCTGGCTGCTTTCTTCGGCGACGCCCAGGTGGTGCAGTTTCTCATGGAGCAAGGGGCCCAGATTGAGCATATTGATAACAATGGCATGAGGCCATTGGACAGGGCTATTGGGTGCAGGAATACTGGGGTGGTGATATGCTTCTTGAAGAAAGGAGCAAAATTGGGTGAGATTGCGTTTTTTTTTTTTGTCACACCTGACACAATGAGCAGTCAGATTGCGTTGCTGTCTGTCTTGTACTTTTCTATTGAAAACACCTTCCTCTGAAAGTTGTCTAGTTTGATAATCCACTTAAAAAGAAAATAGTAGGCATTTTATGAATTAATCACTGTAGTGTAATTGTCTATCTGTTTTAAATGTTATTTATTCATATTCTAGGTCCTGCCACGTGGGCCATGGCACAAGGCAAGCCAGACATTATGATACTGCTGCTGAATAAACTAATGGAGGATGGCAATATTCTCTACAAGGTACTTGTGCAGCAATGAAAAGTGATGAGATTTTTTTCCTCTGCTCTCCCTATAACATCCCTTATTATGTTATATGACAATGGCTAATCTCTTTGGCTTTTGAATTGAATTTTTTTTTAATCATAAAACATCTAATTTGGCCCATAAAGAATATCTGAAAACACTGCACTATCAGATTTTTTTTTTTTTTTTTTTTTTTTTTTGGATTATCTATTTAC